ATTTCTTTTGGGTGTTAAAAGCAGAACACATCTGCTGTCATCTAGGAGTGTTTATACTGGACTTTTTTTTTCCACCTGTGAGGCCATGAGGAGCAAATAACACTTATTCATCGATAGTCAACTCAGCTGGCTTCAGCTAAAGGCTTAATCTTTGAGTAACAGAGCCACAATTTTCAAGAAGGTAACCATGGATCTCATGTTTAATGGTATCCACAGTTCTAAAAAGACATCAGCAATAGATCATTGTATAGTACACCCTGAAAATCCCTGACCATGAAGATACATAAATCCGAAAGTCTGTTTTGTCTTGCCATCATTACAGCTGAATCCACGGACTGCCATTACTCCATACTTTTGTTCATTACCAATTTTTATAAGTTTAAAGACTTTGGTTAAAGAACCTTACCCGTGCCTTCTGCTCCATCTCCATCATTAATCTTTCATGTTGCTCTGCTATTGCCAGTGTCGCAGAATGGACTTTCTGATATATCATTTCCCCTTCTCGTGTCTGAAAGGTGAACAGTCCTTCTCCTGTGTCACACATCCTGCAGTGAAATTTAAGCAGAATGGAAGGAAAAAAAAAATGAGTACTGTGTAATTTTGATCTAACTATTATAAAAAGTGCACACCTTGCAGTAGAAAATGCCGATTTTTGTAGTTAAACTCTGGGATTCGGAACATCTGCAGTTATTTTTACCATCGAAAAGAGACATATTCCAAGAGGTGTGCAGAACTTTCTGAACGTAACCTTTAAATTCAGTTTTAGTCATCCTCTGGACAGTGAAAAAGAAGTCTTCTAGAATAAAAACTTGATGTAATACAGTCAGCTATTTAGGGCATTGTTTCAAATGTCTGTACTGGTAAGTGGGAGCTAAATTTAATTCTCTTAAACAATTGATGCCAGAAGTACATAGCACATCAAGACTTTGAAAACTTGACATTTTGAGAGAACACTGACCAATTAAAAGTGCTATTATGGCTGATGACTACAAAGAAGCTGTATTGAAAGACAGCATTAAGAGGGTTAGATTACAACTGTTTCTGTTAGTACATTTATGTGAGGCAGTAGCTAAAGCTATCTTGATAATTACAAAAGCCTTCAGTCTATTGGACAATAAGAACAGTATTTCTGTAGTATAAGAAGATTAAATAGTGGAAAACAAACCAGAAATAAAATTTACTTTCTGCTGTTGAGAGAGCAACTGCTATTATCCTTATCTGTGATATCACTGTGGCATTATTCTGAGGAAGAAGAGCGG